TGTGATGTGATCGATGATACAAGGGCTAACGTCCATTTTAAGTGTCAGCATGCAAGCTAACGCTGGATGCCGTGATGCATGTGTTATTTCAGAGAATATCATCAGTTCGACTTTATTCCTCCAGACTGGTCCTTTGCAATATGATACTTTTTGAGCCAAGCGTATTATTAAGCACTAGAGGTTCATGCAGAACAACATATGTAACCAGAAGATGATTTTCTGGTCCGACCTCGCGCCAGCACACTAACCAAGGGGCGCCTTGAGGGCCCCGGCCGATGTAAAAATTCCCATTGGAACGAGACCCGATAAGCCATTTTCCACGCCTGAAATTTAACAAATGAGTATCTAATGTGATTCGCCTAAGGCTATAACTTATGTTGGTGTCTTTCGATTTCATACAAAATATCAACTGGTTGCTCATTACCACCATCAACTGGCCAACATCACGGTCCACTGGTGCCAGAGCTTGTGACAACACTTCCAAGGAAATGTCCAAAAAATGACCTATGGGGATTAGGCAAATCTGTTGACGCTCTACGGCTTGCAGCAGATGCAATGTGCATTACAACAATGCCTCGTTTGTTTAAATCGGTACATTTTTACCGAAGATACAGCCTGCTAAACTTTGTCTCAATTTTTAGTGAACACATGTTATATGACCTAAATGGATCATAAAACATGTGTCACGTCACCGACGCATGATATAAGATTTCCGTGATCGGTGATGACCTGACCCTGACCTAAAAATCAAAGTAGGTACAAGTTTGGTAACTTTAGGGTATCTAAAGCATCTCTTCACGAGTGTGTAAACCAAAAATGAGCCTGATCTAACTTGTAAGACGGCGGCCAGAGCCCAAAATGTGAACAAGCCAAACATCGATAGCTTTTGCTTTGGGCTGACCTGTGACGTCATCGGTGACCTCGTGGTCAATGAACTAAGGTTTCGTTCGACAGTTTTTCCGGGGCTATCAGACGCCGTTTGAATTTTAACGATCGGCCTAGCAGTTTCGGAAGTGGGGCGCGCCCCCCTGGGGGCGCTTACTTTCAATGAACCTTTACCAGCCCAAAATTGGTTATCATACCGAAAGCTGAGCTTTCAATTCCCGAATTAATGATATACACAAATACGATTACTTTATAAAAATAAAAAATACTGAGGTGAAGCAAGTGATTGTCCAATGTTGTCCAAAGCCTGCAGCCTTTGCCCAACTAAAGTCAGCATTGGATGTTGGAAAAATAGGAATTTCGAAGGTCCAAGTTCCGAATAGCACCACTATGTAGTTTAAACCCAACCTCTCGTGGCAATTGCGCTTCTGGGTGTAAGAGCCAAGTCCACCCTACCCTCTCCCACTCCCGCGACGGAGGCGCCAATCTCCAGTTACGTTAAACCTGTCCCCGTTCTTTTTTCGCCGTCTGGCTCTATTTTTTGCGCCTGTCTGGGTCTCGAGGACGCTTAACGACACTGAACTGTCTGCCAACCGGCGGTCTCTCGTCCTGTCCGGTCCCGTGCCAGCGCCCAGCGACGCCCGACACTACCGGTATACGACACATTCTTAGTTCGATAAACACTCAGCTCATCATCGCCCTGATTTACTGATCATATTCACGGAGAATCAATTCTAGCTCTGGGCATGACAGACCAAAAGAAGGCCGTCAAACACATCTGATGACGGTATATAGGGCCTTGCTGATGACAAACGATGCCAAAAAGCAACGGCATAATATATGCATACCCCGCGGCAATAGTACCTAGCTATAATGCATCAGAGTTCACGTAAGTCCAATGCCATTTTTCAGACATGGCATTTAGCGTAGCGCAGCCCCCTCATGCTGATTGGATGCTGATTGGTGACGACTATAAGAATAACAATGATCGCGGGCGATGAGCAGAATTAAGGACCCTATGGGATAGGATCATTACCACTTACCATCTAATAGATATTACCCGAACCTTCTGACTGTCTATAAAGTTGAAGTGAGAATTGTAAATGGATGATAATGGTGGACGAGGGCCGTTATTCCAATGAGCGCAGCCGACTTTATCGGGGTGAAACAGCCAGGGCGCCGGTGGACTGGGCGCCACCGCTGCATTTAGGTAAGGGAATGCTCATACTCCAACGCTCCAGGTACTATCAAAATCAAGGCAACAGCCTATGGACCGGCCATCCGCTTCGGACCACATCGTTGTAAAGTGGGTGGCGCAAAATGGCGCCGGCCCGATATTTACTGTTTGTGATTGACATATGTGGGGTGACCGGCGCAAAGCGGCGCCGGTTCGATATTTGCTGTTTTAATCGACGTGGGTGACGGCACTGGCCCGATGTTTACATATGTTTTGCACGATATTTGAGGAGGGGTCGACATTTCAAGGTAGGCGCAGGTCAACGCAGCCGACGAATGAACGACACATGAAGGTTACCGGGACACTTCAGAGCGACGTTGAACCAGATTTTGGACATGTTTGTGTGCACTTGAGACTCATTGAGAGAGGTGCGGGCAGCGTAGTCGGGGCAGTGCGTCACAATCGCCTGTTGATGGAGCCTCAAATTGGCTGACAAGACATATCCGCCTCGGGCAAGTATATAACCGTTGAGGGGAGTGTAAACGGGACTCAGCGTCTGCAAGCTAACCAGGGTGCACTGTTGGGGCCCCGACTGCACTCCACGGCTCCATCCTACTCGTAGCCACTAGCGGATCCGGGGGGGGGGGGGATTTTGGACAAATACCCTCCCTCCCCCGCGGCGCCCGAAATCAACCACACGCTTTGCGGTTTTTGAGAATGACAAGAAAACAAAAGAACTTTTACAAAGAAGTTTGTTTTACATAAACCGCTTAGCAGTGCGTAAGGAATCGAAATCCGGGGAGTTTTTGGAAGTTGGAGAATTTTTTTTTTTTTGGGGGGGGGGGTACTCGGTACTCCCACCCCCCTGTAGCTTCCAAGACCGCCTTTCTGGATCCACCAGTGCGCTAATTCGAGATGGTGGAGTCATTTCCTGAACCACGATGCATGTAACTTAGTGATACAAATGTAACTTAGTAATGCAAAAGTACTATAAATATTTTGGAATGACAGTGGTGCGGGTGGCAAGGGATAAAAGGCTGGGAGACGCTCCAGCTTATCGCTGTCATGAAGAGTACCTTCTCCTAACATACAAAACACAGGGGGAGGGGGGAGCGGGTAGTGACAGGCTAACAGGACCATCACGAGTACCCCTACGGCCTACATTATCATGTATGGTCAGCAAATACAGGCGGCAATAAGCTCGCTGAACGACAAACGTACCAATGTTTGGTGGGCCGACCACCTTGGCGCTCCTGACAGCGTTATTTACTCAAGGTTAGAATGTGTGCTGGCCGATAGGCAAATAAAGGACGTTTTGCCGCATACTTGACCACATGTCACCACCGCGTCGATCATGACTACCGTTGCCAGTCACACAGCGCATGGACAAAATAAAGAAATACGTCCAAAGATCACCAGATAGAGGCGGATTTCCGTGCACGTTCATCGCTTAGCTTTTGAAGCAAAATGAATAAGGAAGCATTTAGAAAATGAATAAGGAAGCATAGAAAGCATTTTGCAACTACCTATAGTCTGAAAACCCTAAAAAAGAACGGATTTAAAGTACAATCACCATTGACGCACGTGCCACGTGCCTTTATAGTGCATTAGGCATATCCCAAAACATTTGTCTCACAGCTTTTCACCCAAATTTTATCCGAACCATACATTTCCAGAGACCCAAACACGTGCAAGGCGATTCAGGCCCTTTAACTCTGTTCTTTCTATAGGTAAGACGCGTTGGATGCAATTCAGCGTCGTGCCCCGTAAGCATAAGAAACGGTTTTATACCTTGAGTTTTTATATGCAGAATGCAGATATGCCACAAACATAACATCGAAGGCATGGCCGTGGATGAAATTGGCAAAGGCCTACTAATTGACCGGTCCCCTACTAATTACTGCTAATTGACCGGTCCCCTAGGAAAAACTGATCAATAATAAAGCGTACCTACCTACTAATTACTAGTTACTACTACTAATTACTAATTGACCGGTCCCCTACGAAAAAAAACTGATCAATAGAACGTACCATCATGCGGTAGTGTTCATGCAGTGGAAGTACGACGTATTTGTCGACGCGTGAAATTGTGCACGAGATGTGGAAAGTTAAATATTTTTTTTTTCTGGGTCAATGTGGTCTGTGGCGAGATTATATGACCTTGGTAGAGAGATGTGGGGGATTTGGACACGGATGGACTTTGGAAGGATGTGTGTTAACGAATATAACGATTGCAAACGATATTTTATCACAGTTCAGACAGACTGAATTATAAAAAGTTACAGACTTTCATACCAACACTTCTGGGGGTAACGGAGAACTTCGGCAGGGGTAATGAGGGTCTCTGGGAAAATGATTATCTTTTTAGAATTCATGACTCGCACGAATAGATAATGTGGTGTATATGTGAACTGCATCCAGTTGCCATTCTGGCCTGCCACGGTCTCTAAAAAGAGGTTACAGGTCGCTACTCATTTCTCGAGCAATTTGTTGAAAAAAAAAAATGTTCATCGCTTTTAAGAGTTGATTTTACCTACCTTCCCCTGTACCTGCCCCTCTATAAGTGCGATGGTCAATCGCGTTCCATTTGATACGCAGAAAATAGAGCTACCGAAAGCATAGGAATATGCGTGATCTTTGCCGTGTAAGCAATGGGGTCTGATAGGTGGTGACACAGATAACATGAATAGTTGTCGGATTCAGACGGATTCATGTCATCTATGGTGGGAGTAATGGTCATGTCAGACGCCAAAAAAGAGGCACCACCCGGGGGGACCTGCTCGCCACTGACCCAGAGAAGGCATGTCCCAACATTTGCCGACCCCTAACCTACCGGCATGCTCAATAAACTGCTGATTAATAGTTTTTTTTTTTTAAAGTTCGACCCTCACTGTAAACGTCCCTGTGAACACAGCACGAGATTTGTCAGATGACTTACTTGGAAAACTGGCTAGCGCACGTTGCTTTTCACAGATGACAAACTTGCTCTAATCCTTCCTTGTAGTTGACTCCCATTTCCCCGACTCGCAATGAGTATTTGCCTATATTTGCGATTCCACAGTGATACTCGACTTGTCGGGAATTACAACTGAACCAATCAATCAATCAACCAATCGCACGGCGTTTAACACTATGCTACTTCATCGGTGTTCAAACACATTTCTGAAATATTTTTTCGTCTCTACAATAAAACGTGCACCCACGTGCACCAGCCAGTTTTCCCAGCCAGTCTCTCAGGAAATCTCGTGCTGTGTTCAAGAAGATGTTTACAGTGAGGGTCGAACTCAAGGCCCTAAAGCGTCGAACTCAAGAAAAACGGAATATAAGTGATATGAATGGCCCTATGTATATTGTATGTTACATAGCATGTCACATGATATGACATGAGATATGAGCGACTTACGAGCGATCCGATGAGCTGAGGCGGCACCCGAGGATTAAATTAATCGAATTATGAGTTATGACAACACCCATAAGCAATTGAAATTTGTAAGCTGTAACCAGTTGACCTAAACATATTACATATGCACATCAAAGGTCGACAAAGAGTTGAGTTTTTCAGTAATCCTGGCCTGATCCCTGGGCCTGGGCTGTTCAGACGTAGGAATGCACTGGCATTTCATGTCGCATTAGTATCAGCCATACGGGTATTCACAGTCTAAATTGCACTGGTAGCTGCTCGTCTTACGGCCACATGCGAGATACCAGATCGAATCAAGATACGAGCTGTGGGCATGGGGCATGTGAACAAGTCTAGACTGCAGGCTCGAAATGATCATCGTTTATCGTTTCTGTTGAATACGAAATAATGTGCGATGAGAGACGGCACCCTCAGGCGTCAACCAATTTGAGGGAACTTCGTTTTCATTGCTACCGAGGTAGGTATAAATCGAGTAGCCGGTTCTGTCCATGGTACATATAGTTATACTTACTTACTTCCTCGGCGGCAGCTTCGTGGACGAACGGGATCCAGTGAAGCATTGCCACGTTCAAATTCTACAAACTGTCAAAATTGCAAATATGTAGTGGAACACAATCTATATTACTATTTGTGGTGACGTAGTTTCTGTCTATTACGAAGGTCGCGACATGGTGCTACGTAGCGCGGGTTACAGGTCACACCGTTGCACCTACCGCGCTGAAGTTTGCGCAACTCATAGAACAAGGATGGACAACGTGCCTTTGATGGGTCTCAGCTCGATCGGATCGATAGCGAGCGCGTGGCGCGTGCCCAAAAAGTGCAAATTCGCGTCATAGACTTTACATGTATTAATCGGCTGGCAAAAACGGGCGAAAACAGCCAAATTTGCCCGACACGGGTCCGGTCCCGGTGCAATATCTCGGTAACCGTGGGCCCGACAGGTACGGGGAAAACAGCATCGTGTAGAGAATCGAACGGGCCATCGAATGGTGTGCGGTGCAGGGGTTGGCACGCGCCACGTGCACCGGGGAGGACACTTTCTTTTGAAAAATGGACGTTTTGGACGGATTTTGGAATTTATATTAATTTCAGGTGATCGTCAGACGGAATGAGTTGAAACAGCGCCTATTAGCAATAAAAATGTACCGTCGCTCATGGAAAAATTGTGAAAAGCTAATTGATCAAAAACAATGTGGAAAAAATCGCTGAATTAAATGGTATTTGTCCAAAATGTGCCACTAAATAATTACACGGATTTTGCTGCTTAACCTGATACGTTTGACAATTGAAAATGCTATCATTGGAAAGAGCATTCAATTCTCTACAAGATCCAATCATCACGTTTGCATGACAAGCAACAGTATTCTTAAAAATATAAATGTTTCAAACCTCTGCAAAACGATTTTTAGTGAAAATTATCTACGCCTTTAATTTGTCATAAAACTACGCGCCTAAATTATAAAGCACATTTGACAGATTCTGAAGTGGAAAGCATGCTTATCAGACACGGGCACCTCGATGCGGCGGATACTTTTTCCACAAACCAAAACGTTTAGCCGTCAAAAAGCAATCGACCGAAATGGATAGATAACCCAACCGACACAAGAACAACCAAACACCCGCCGATCGAAAATATCCCTTTTCGCGTTGCGGAGCACGCGGGTCACCCTAGTGCTTATTCTATTTGCACTAAAACGTAATTATTCAACATAGCTTTGCGCACCTACATTTGTATGATTGAATTGTAGGTATGTCATTTATTTTAAATCGCATGTCACCCGCGCCCCGTAGGGGGGGGGGGGGGCGAAACGGCCCCCCCTGTCCTTTTCCGTCGATATCTCCTAAACGGCTAAAGATATCGCCACCAAACTTACAGGACACCTCCGGGCATCAATTTTGCACATTGTGACTAAACAACTTTCTAGAGGCTATGATAGGTTGGCCACAAATGACGTCAGAATGACGTCATGTTCTGCCATTTTCGACCGAAAAAAAGACCTTCGCGAGAAGAGCTGTCAGGCCTACAGCTTTGAAGATAAAGAAAAATGATCTGACATAAAAGGTGTAGAATTGACAGGGCTACAAAACTGCTATCTCGGATTTTTGAAATTTTTGAGTTTTGACCCCCAAAAATCAAAAAAAGCAATTTTTGGATATATTTGCCAAAAAATCCAAAAAGTTTTTTGAGTTTCGAAAAAACCTGAATATATGTTATAGTACCTACGGTCCTCTATCCACATACCAACTTTCAGATACATATCTTGCTTTTTGGCCAAGTTATAGTTAAAAAACTGTTCAAAAATGTGACGTCAAATTTTCAAACTCAATTTTTGGCGATTCTAGACCACGTAGAGCAAAACAAAGACCACCATTAGACTCCCCGTGACGAGCTGCATCGAATCGATACCCAATTTATGCAAAAATATCAACTTGAAATTTGACCTAATTTGACCTGACCTTGACCTGACCTTCACCAAAACGTGACCTAAGCTGGCCCCAAAGGCTGCCTGACCCACAGACCCACATTATCGCATTTGTCATGTAAAATGGACCATAAAACATGCATCACACGACACTTTCATATTGTGACCCCCAGGCAGGCGCGGATCCAGGGGGGGGGGGGGGCGACGGGGGCGGCCGCCCCCCCCGACATCCAAAAAAGGCGCCCATAGCCCGCGGCAGAGAGGGCGCCCCGAGCAAAACAGAGGCGACACAGCAAAGGTTGAGCAGAAATAGGGCACCTCCTGCAGAAGTTGGGCTCACCAAGCAGGAGAGCGACGCCCAATTGCCCATTCCCAACAGATCAGAGTCGCCCCAGAAGCAGATGGGCGCCCCCAGCAGAAGAGGGGCGTCTTATTACAAGAATAAAAACATGCCTTCTGTTCAAGAGGGGCACTCCTGGCAGGAGAGGTGTCCCCCTGAAGAGGAGCGACGCCCCAGCAAAAGCAGAGAGGCGCCCCTATTCCAAGAAGAATAGGGGCGCCCTAACAGCAGATAGGCGCCCCAACAAAAAAAAGAGAAGCCCCATAATAAAAAATGGGTGCCACTGGCAGAAAAGGGGCGCCCCCGGCAGCGGAGGGGGCCCAGCAGGAGAAAAGAGCCTCCAGCGGGAGACGGGCGCCCCAGCGAAGGGGGGCGCCCCAGCAGAAGAGAGGAGCCCCCTGCAGGAGAGGGGCGCCCCCAGCAGAAGAGGGGCGCCCCAGCAGAAGAGAGGCGCCACAGCAAAAGTTGATCAGAGATGGGGAGCCTTCAGCAGAGGTTGGGCTCGCCAAGCAGGATAGGGGCGCCCCATTGACAATATCCGGCAGACGAGAGACGCCCCAGCAGCAGATGGGCGCCCCAGCAGACAGCAGCTGTTGGGCGCCCCCGGTAGAAGAGGGGCGCCTCATTACAAGAAGAAAAGGAGTTTATGGAGGCCACCTTTTTGCTTATCTCTTTTGCTAACGAAGCGGCGCCAATCTACGACATTTAACCCGCGCCGTGCTAGTGGTCTAAGTTTTCCGTGCCGTGCTGGGGGGGGGGGGGGGGGGTCACGCCCCCTCGTCTAACTCGGCTCTTGGGCCGCGTAGCGACACGCGGTAAGCGGCATTCGAAAGATCGTCCAAAAACAGGACGAAAACAACTGCCATTTTTTAGGTCAGGTGAAAGGTCAGGTCACCATAGGTCATCAAAAGTAAAATGTTGCCTATTTCAACATTTTTTTTCGAAACACCGGCACATACCTAACTCGGATACCAATACAGCTATAGTGTAGCGGAAAAGCGCATTCGATAGCCCTTTCAAAGGTGTTTCCGTAACCTGTCCTCAGATATGACGCAAGGTTAACGGTTTAGTCTTCGGAGGGCAAAAACTCTAAAAATAGCCGTTTTACGAATTAACAATGTATTCCTGTAATAACTTTTGACTCAAGAGGGTCTCGACGTTACCTTTGCCAGCATCACGTTTCTGTTCGAGACGCGTCGAATGAACAATATGATGACTTTTAAAGGCAATTTTGAGAATTTGACCTCTGTCAAAGTCATGACCTGACCGGGAAAGATCATATTGCATATCAGTCGATCCGTATCGTCGAGCTGAACACAACTGAGTTTTTTTATCGCTCTAGCATGTATCTATCAAAAGTTATTTACAAAAAAAAACAGCTGTGAATCTTTCATGACCTGGGATAACCTCTTGAACATAACTAATGAGTGGTCACAGTGCAATGTTCTTATTAAGTGTGTTAATTTTATCTATATCCCAATGCTTGAGATTGTCTAGAATGGCGCTCGTCCAAAAGAGATGCCTTTCAATTTTCTCCCATAGGCTTACCTATACATAATAGAGAGGTCGCAAAGCTGACCTGACCTTAGGTCACATATCAAAATTCCGAGATATACATTTCATGAATATTGTTGCTTTCATCAACTGCTGAAAGTTTCAAAGCGATCGTTCAGTCGGTATAGCAATGGTGAGCATTTGCACTTTTTCTAAGGTTAGGTCACGTGGAATAACTTGGTGACCTGACCTTGCATCACCCGGGTCTCACATTTTTACAACATGTGAAGAAAAGATATATGATAACTGATAATGTATACTGAAAACAGCGGCGCTGCGCGCAGCCATTTTAAACATATTTGCGAAAAACCTAGGGGGGACGTGACAACGCCCCCCCCCCTCACGGCGTGGGTTTTAAACTCTTGATTTGGCGACGGTTTGGCGCCCCCGGATTGCAAGGTCGCCCCTATTTCAAC